TATTCCCCATAGAAGCCTGACCCTCTTGTTCTTTGTCTAGTCACTTCTCCACACTTCATTACAGTTTGTTAAAATTGTGTATGAGCTTCCAAGATTAACCAGTTCTTTGGGTTTTTCACTTCTTTTCTGTATATTCCCATCTCTATATATAAAAGCCTAATATGCAAAGTGTCCCTTCAGGATTTCAACTGATCTGGGAGTTCGATCGCTCACTATGCTTTGCGCTGACCACAAGTGGGCGGCATGGAACTAAGGAAGGCCCCCGCCGGCAGCTGGGGTAGGGAAGCCCTGGCTGGCAGCTGCCAGCCACTAGGGACCCTGCCTGTGCACAGATTTTGTGCACTGGGCCTCTAGTGTACATATAAAATTAAAACAAGATAAATTTGTATGCATTTTTCTTCTGTTAATCTGTGTTTTTTTTTCCTCAGTTTAATTCATAGGACCCAGACATAGAACCTAGGAAGGTAGAGGAAATATTTTCCTCTCTTATAGAGGCGTGCCAGAAAAACGAGTTACTAGTCACAGTGAAGTCAAGCAGTGGGAATGTTAACACAAAAGGGAGGGGACCCCCGCTACTTTCAGAAGTAGTGCTGATGGACAGTGCCTCCAGTCTTTGCTCCTTTATGGTGAAGCTACAAGATGTACCCAACCACAGTCTCCCTCACCTTCTTCCAGACAAAGACTTCATTATGTATCAAGACTTTTTATGTGTGTCATGCATAAAAAGTTTAGTTGCTATGCCGGTACAAAGAAATAAAAGATTATTCTATCCTCGGAAAGTATCTAATAGTCTAATACAGACCTATTGAAAGAGGGGTGATACAAAGCCAATATGAAAAATACAATTGTGTAAGTTAATAAGGATGGCTGCCCCACAAAACCTCGTCCAATCTAACAGAATTCTCACAGGTTTCTCTGAGCAAAATGCAGTGACTCCAGTTAAGGCTTGTGTTCCATTCCTGGGTCAAACCAACCACTTCCTACCTTTGAGACCTCAAATAGTTTTCTATTAGGATCTCCCTTTTAGGGAAGCTAAGATAATCAAATGAGATGGGGCATTTAAAGTTCCTGGCGCAATTCCTGACACTTAGGAATAAATGTTAACTATTACCACCACCACCACCACCATCATCATCATCATCATCCTGTCATTTTCAAGGCATTTCTCAAACTGTATAATGGAGCACCTCTGACATTTATCTATTAAGAGGGGGGAAAAATATATGAAAGTTCAGATGGTTTTGGAGGAAGACCTTTTCCCTCTCAGCGGTGTTATATAAGCAGCATATGTGTGACACCCTTGAATTTTCTTTTGTACTGTGTATACAAAACAACCCAAAACATTGCCATTTGCTCCTTCAATGTCCCGCAAATTTATTTTCAGAAGACACGTGAAATATTTATGCCGCTTTACTTCCACCATCAAAATCAATACTTCCAGCTACAGTGGAGGGTCATCAAAGCTGCTTTGAATGCAAGGACTGTAGCCACATCTCATTCAATAGTCCTTGGCCCATTTTACATCAAGTCTCAGAATAGTCTCTTTAAAAAAAAAAAAAAAAAGGCTTTGTGAGAACATAAGTCGTTTTCTCCACTCCAACAAGCAGGACCGGTTCACCCTAATTTAACTGCGAGGCTCCAGAGGGAGGCTGAAGGGAGCAGAAATGCCACATGTGTGTAAAACAGTAGAAGGTACAGAGGAGTCCATAAGGAATGCGATAAACCACAAAACTGTGACACGTTTTAGCAGAGGGAGCACCATAGTGACACATCTAACAATTAGAGACCTGCCTGGGATGGCCAGCAGTGAATAAAAACACCACTAAACAAGGGAAGGTGAAAATGTGAACGAATTGATTTTTCAAGCAGAAGGTAGGTGATACTGTAGTGTAGAGCATAGAGGAAACATGGCAGCCAACAGCAAGGCACTTAAAATGGAATCTGATTCTGTCCTGGGAATAACTGTTTGTATCTTCTGTTTCCAATGAAATGGATTTGAAAAAGAAAAAAGAAAAAAAAAAAAAACCTGGGTAAAAACAGCGGTTATCACCAGATGATAAGTAGGGATGGTTTTTATATATTTATTATTTTCTGAAGGTTTAATAATAAAAATATTGCTTTTATTTTTAACTACAAGATTTTTTTAAAACAAAATGGACAAATCAGCCACTTACTTGTAGGAACAACCTAAAATTAATTGTACATATGTAAACCTCTCCCATTAGACTCAACACTCTCATGAGTGAGAACCTATTTCATTGTTCCTTGGAATCCTGGTGTCTAGCACAGAGCTTACATACATTAAGAAGTGCTTTTGGCAAATGAATTTTGATTACGGACAAAACCCCAAACGAGGTGACACCTGGTGTAGCCTTAGGAAGGAAATTAAGAAAATGAAAAAGGAATTAAGTGGCAGGGCTTTCCCACAAGCAGCTGACCAGCATTCGTCTGGGCAGCCTCCTTTGATTGGACCCCCTCATAGGATATTGCCAATCACCCTGATAGATAGATACTTCAGCCCACGTGATAAAAAGCTTAATGTTCCTTATTCCCAAAACTTTCCAATAAGTCCTTTGTCCTCTCTCACCTAGCTGTCCTCTTCTCATATTGCCGATGAACTGAGCCACGCTGTTCCGCCCGGTTCTTGCTTTGCAGAATGCTAGAGGGACCCTATTTCTATGGTGACCTTATTTGAGTTTGGATGTGATTTATAAATGTGTGAGGAATCCCAGCTGTCTCTCAACAACGGTCATTTTCAACCATTTGCTTTCTGGTTTGCTGAAGAAGCGAAAGCAGTGATGCTAGACAACAAAAATGATTCCTAGGAGTTTATCCCCAACTGGGAACATTATGGTCCTTAAACCACACCCATGTGTGCATAAGTCCACACTCGCGCGCACACACACACACATCACATCCCATGTCCCTCCAGCTGCAGCAAAGACATCACTTCATGTCTGAAGATATTAAAAAAAAAACAAAACAAAAAAACACCCTCATGAATAGCTTCTCAAGACATTCTTTAAAATAAAGTACAGTACTTTATTTGGCTATCAAATAATAACTATGCTTTGTTGAATACTTGAGGTCATGATTCACATCTGAGTTTAGAAAGCGGCCACCTCCTACATATTCACTTAAAATGCAGATTCCTCATCAGATTCCACATCTAAAGAATCACAGAGCCCAATTCTCACAGCAGCGCCAAAGTCCCAGTAGCTTTCTCCACACCCACCCACCGAAATTTAAGTCTCCAGTGAATCACCATTCCACATATGTGAGTATGTACACCATTTTCAAATCAAATGACTTGACACTAACCATGCATGTGGGCAAAGAAAGAAAACTTAATAATCGTGCAAGTTCTAGCACTTCACTAAAAGTTTACCAAAAAAAAATCAAGGAAAAATTAATCACTGAAACTCTATGCCTTGCAACAGAGGTTACTTTGAAATGTAAATGGATATTTTTTCAGCCTATGCTCTACCAAAGTTCCATGAGATGGGGAGGGGGGGAAAAAACCTGAGTAGGTCAGGGCCATTTATTTTCTGTTTCCTGCGTTCCCCATAATCACCTACCAAATGAACGTGGGAAAGTGTGTTAAGCAGAACTGATCTGAAATACACCAGACCCTTTTAAATTCTCTTTTCTCCCTATCGCAGGAAATATTCTAAAGTAAAAAAAAAAAAAAAAAAAAAAAAAAGAACCAGGACGATGGGCCAAGAAAACGGCGTTGAGGGATTTAGTAATCTCGCCCTCTCCGGTGCAGAAGGCCCAACCACGGGGGCAGCGGAGGGAAGGACTGGCGCTGCACGATAAAGTGACACTTCCCGGAGTTAACGCCGAGATTCCTCTGCCGCAGCCGCGATGGTTCTCGCCATGAACTCGAGCACAAGTCTCCTAAGTGTGTGTGTGTGTGTGTGTGTGTGTGTGTGTGTGTGTGTGTGTGTTTGTGTGTGTGTTTCCCTCCAAGATGCCGAGATCAATTTCAAAAGCTGTTCCTTTCAAAAGTCCCGAAGGAGCCTCGCGCACGCACCCCACCCTGCAAGCAGCGAACTTCCTGTTCTCTCGGGCCGGTCAAGAACTCTAACTTGACAGTGACACACACTGAAAAAAAAAAAAAAAAAAAAAAGGAAGTGGCTAATTTCTTTTTTTTTTTTTTAGAGACCAATAACCCTGTCCACCAGGAAAGTTTCCATGGGGCGAAGCCATCACACCCGCTTGGAAGTCGCAGAGAATGTCCATGTTGTAAAACCGAGGGCGACAGCATTTTTTAAAAAATACACTTAAAAAAAAAATCTTCGAAATCCTCTTGCTCTGCAAAAAAAAACAAAAAAAAACAAAAAAAACGATTCCTCCTCTTTAGCGAACGCAAACTCCCCTCCCGGTGGGTCGGATCCGGGCCGGGTCCGCGCTGCCCAGCGGCAGAGAACGCTCGCCGGGCACCGGGGCGGCCAGGGGGCCCGGCCGGCGCCTCCCTTACCTGGTTTGACCGGTTTGGGTGGCGGCTTCGCCATCTCGCTTCCTGGAGCAGCTGATCCTCAAGACGACGACGCACGAAAAGCCCAGCGAACGCGCCCTGCCGCCAGCCGGCTCTCCTCCGGGAAGCCCGAGATCCTGGGTTCTGCCTGGTGCGCAGCGGTGCGCCCTGGAGGACCCGCGCCAACGCTCTATCCACTGAGCCACCTGGGCTGCGGGACCAGCGGACGCAGGCACAGGGGCTCCCGGCGCAGTCCCCGCCCCGCCCCGCGGCCGCCCAGCCGTCCGGAGCGCGCGCCCGGCCGACGAGGAAGTGGCCGCCGCCTCGCCGAGCGCTGATTGGCTCCCCGGCCGGCGGCGCGGGGGCGCGGGCGCGCGGGCGGCGGCGCCGGGGCGCGGGCGGCGGCGGGGGCGCGGGCGGCGGCGGGGGCGCGGGCGGCGGCGGGGGCGCGGGCGGCGGCGGGGGCGCGGGCGGCGGCGGGGGCGCGGCCGGCGGCGGGGGCGCGGCCGGCGGCGGGGGCGCGGCCGGCGGCGGAGCCCGGCCAGGGCGCAGCGGGCGCGCGCCCCCGACGAGCAGGCTGAACTGCGGGGTCGCGCGCAGAGCCACGCTCACCAAGAGCCCGGCCCCGCCCTACGGGGTCTGCGGCAGGCGCCCCGCGGGGCGGGCGGACCCCTCCCTTAATGACCTCTACCTGGGCCGCCTCTGACCCGGGAGGGGCGCGGTGGGAGGGGCGCAGGGGCGGGGAGCGCCGCGGGGCGGGGGCCTTGGGCTTCTGGGTTAGTGACAGGCGCGCCGGGCCGCCGCCTCTGCGGCTCGGCCCGGGAGGACTAGGAAGTCCGGGTGAGTACCTGCCTGGCCCCGCGGGGCCTGGAAGTGCCCCCCAGAGTGCTCCTCTGCTGGAGCCCGAACCCGGCTGCGTCTTGCAAGTCCCTGCGTCTCTTACCCCCTAGGTTACCCCCTATGGACCGGCCGATAGGTAGCCAGCCGCGGGCGCTCGTGCTGACTTAGTGCTTGGACGCCCCGCAGTGGTCCTTGAAATGGGGAGTCTGCCTCCCACAGGTCTTCCAGATTTGGGGGGGCGGGAGGGAGGGGGGGAGTCATCGGGGACAAGACCAGGTTGGCTAACTCTACCGCCCCCTGCCTCCTGGTATATCACAAGGCCTGCTAACCAAGAACGGTTTTCACATGTTTATATGGCTGAAAAGAGGTCAAAGGAATGTTTTGTGGCACGTGAAAATTACATAAAAGTCTCATTCCAGTGCCCATAAAGTGTTAGGGACGCCGCCACGCTCAGTGGCTTCTGTGCCGCCTGTGGCTGCTTTCACCCCATGAGAGCTGCCCGCAAAGTGGGAAACATTCTCTGTGAAGCACTTGACAAACCTTTGCCCACCCGTCACCCAGCAAACTGAATCGCCAATGGAAGCACACACGAAATGCAGCGTTTGTAAGTTCAAAATGGCACAGTCGGTATTCTACACCAGCTGTGTGCTTGGGGTGAGAAAAGTGGAAGAGAAAGAAAAGCTTTCTACATGAGACTCGACGTAAAACCAAGTTTCGAAACTTATCCCAGGGGTTAGTTAGTGAAAGATGGGAGTGATTCCCAGGGAAAGGGAAATCTTTGGCATATTCAGGAACTTTAGCCAGATTGCTCTTTTCAATACCTGGGAAAGCAAGAACATTTCGTTCGCATATTGTCGGTCTTTTGGACCGTTTGTGTTAGGGGGTTGCTATTTTCTTATAACCTGCTGATTCTGCACATGCCACCTCTGACCATTTTGCAGTTTGGAATCTAAAGTGTACCAGCCCTAGTAGTGAAATAAATGAAATGTTACAAACACCAGCTATGAAGAAAAAAAGGACTCAACAATATATTTTACTTAGGGTGAAAGAAAGTAATTAAAATGACTTATTTTGGGTTTGCTCATGGATAGCTTAGTCGCTTCTCCTACCCCCCATGCAAATGCTCTGTGCTGCCGAGGAAAGCTTTGCACTTACTGGGAGGATCAAGTACGTTAATATCCCATGAGATTGGGGGTGATTATATTCCTAGTAATCGGATGCCCTGCGCTGATGAGGCTGGAAAGTCCAAATGGTTGTCTCTCTGGAGACATTCAGTGATTCACTGTGTGTAGTTGATCAAACTTGTTTGCTTTGTGGAGGCGCTGCTGCGTGTACATACAGTATTGAGACTGGCACCTCTTGACTGAAAGCTTTTTGAAATGTGATTTAAAAATAGTTCTTAAAGAGGGCTACGGGCAGTGAAATAACAGAACCTGGTGTTGAGGTGGACAGAGCCAGGCCCAAACTTAGAAACCAACCGAAGCTGCCCTGTGCATCGGATGGGACACTGTTTGAAACAAATGGCTTCTGGGATTTCTACACCCGCTACCACCCCAGCTACTCATCCCAGCCCAAGTCTTGCTTCTGCTGCTTCCAGTTCCCGACCCTTCCCACCACATTGTCATCTGTTCATTGCTAATGGACTGTACCAACATTTTCTAAAAAAATATATTTTCTTGGTTTTTTACATAGAGGGAGGAAAAGGGATAGAGAGCCAGAAACATCGATGAGAGAGAAACATTGATCAGCTGCCTCCTGCACACTCCCTACTGGGTATGTGCCCTCAACCAAGATGCATGCCCCTGACCGGAATGAACTTGGGACCCTTGAGTCTGCAGGCCAACGCTCTATCCACTGAACCAAACCAGCCAGGGCTGTACCTCCAACATTTGCCTAAGCACTGACTTGGACAGGCTAAGACTACGAATACAGAACCGAGGGTTCCTGTTTTGGACTTGCATTGGACTGGGGGAGTTCCCTCCTGAGCCCCAGAGGATTTAGTATAATAGTAGGTTTTTTACTGTCTGTCTCACACGTGGTTTCTGAATTGCTAGAGTTCCCACCCAAATAACCCCCTCAAGCCTTTTTGCCGGGCCACAACCACACTCATTACTTACATGCTATGTCATTGGTACGGAATCCTAGTGTGCGTGTACAAATGTGGCAAGAAGCACGGGGACCAGCAGTCCTTGCCCTGTAGTGTGCAGAGAGAACACACACCCATCAATAATACATCAAAAAAAAGGGCATCAATCATACATGAGAGCCTCACAAGCCTGCACACATGTACCACCTCTTCTGTGCTCTTGTTAACACAATGCTTCTTAGCAGCTTGAAGGGAGGTCTAGTTTTGTTTCTCACTTTTCCTAAACATACCAGCTGTGTTACCTTGGGCAAGTCACTGCATTTTTCTGGGCCAATTGCAACTGCAAAATGAAGGAGTAGGCTAAGTGAACTAGTGAACTCCCTTTGCAAAAGAAACGACATTTATCAACAAAAAAAGTAAGAAAGGTACCCGCGCGAGATAAAGGGCAGCCTTCTCTTCCCAAAAAAGCATAGTTGCCACCCTCGCACTGGCATATTAAAAATAAGAATAGGGTAAAACTGCCAAAACCGGTTTGGCTCAATGGATAGAGCATAGGCTTGGGGACTGAAAGGTCCCGGGTTCGATTCTGGTCAAGGGCATGTACCTTGGTTGCAGGCACATCCCCAGTAGCGGGTGTGCAAGAGGCAGGTGATCGATGACTCTCTCTCATTGATGTTTCTAACTCTCTTATCTCTCTCCCTTCCTCTCTGTACAAAATCAATAAAAATATATTAAAAAGAATAGGGTAAAACTTAACCCAAAAGTAGAAAAATCATGTGGACCAAAAGGAGCCCCACACCAAACCTGACAGGCTCCAGAGAGGCCCATGTCCGAAAGGAACCACAGGGGACGGTCAGAACATCAGTGTTCCTGACTAAAAGCTAGTCATGGCAGGTAGTCACCTCCTGGGCCTGGAGCTTCCTTGACAAAGAAAAGGTCAAGTTTTACCTTAGGTAAGTCTGACTGTTATCTTTTTGTATCTAAGGTAACAAATCCTTGGGATGTCAGCGTCATCTCCTCTTTCCGGACCCCTCCAAGTATGTCCTCACACCAGGGCATGCGATCACACAACCCCTCACGGTTAACTTGTTCCCCAAATGCCATCTCTGTGGTGTGCCGTGAATGTTCATGGTTAACTACTCTGTACTCACCAGTGTAAAAGAAGTGTCTCTCTGTTTTGTTCTTTATCCAATCTCGGAGATTTCCTGTTTTTTGCTTTCTCCCACCTCCCTAATCTATCCCCAGTGAACTTCATGTAATTTCCCCCTTCTGTCTCTTCCTCTGTTTCTAATGTATAAAATAAGCAGCAAAACTGCCATTCTCCAGAACGTTTGTTCAATCCGTTGAGATTTTGCTTCCCAGCAATTGTCAGTTTGGCTCAAACGAACTCGGACAAGTCTACGGATTTGGCCGTTTCTTACACAGACGATGACAGCATAGAAATTGACAGTACTCGTCGTATGTAATTGGTCCCTTGACATGCTTTGTCAGTTTGGGTGGGAGATACAGTCAACAGTGCAACTCCTGGTGAAACTCAGATGCCCAGCGTGTTGTGTTATTATAGTGTTAGCATCGTCATTGTTGAATTCTTGTCTCACACAGGCATGTTAGTGAAAGTGGGACCGAACCGTAAGCTCTTGCTCTCAGTTTGGAATATTCTGGGTAAGCTGGGCAGACGCCAAGGAGCAGCTACCCCTCTGCACCAGGCTCTTCTCCCCACCACCTCTCCCCAGGGGACGTCTGGACACAGGTCAGAGGTAGGATGGGGGAGGGCTGCTGGGAACCCCAGCGCAGGGGCCACCCTCCATGAACAGCACAGCTTAGATTCCTGGTGAGCCACGCACAGCATCAGGGATAAAGAGCTGCTTTCTGAGGCTCCCTCCGCTGACTTCACCCTTTCACTTAAAAAGGTCAAGCTGGCCCATTGGAAGGGGCTTCTTAAATGGCCAAGTGTGAAACTGCCCTCCGACCCCTAGGCCAGGGGTCAGCAGACAGTGGTCTTGTGCCTAAAACCTGACCCTCTGCTTCACCATTTGCCATCTGTTTTCAGATAGGGAACACAAACTTGCAAATCCAGTTAGGGAAGTGTTATCTTCTCATTAGTAGACATGTATTACCCAGAAACAGTTGTACTCAATTATTATTATGTTTAGACTGTTATCAAAAACATAGTGGAAATTTGTTTTATCTCTTATATAAATGCTTACATAATAGCCTGGATTTCACCTCTTTACCCACAAAGCCTATAATAGGTACTGCCTATCCCATTTCTGAAAAAAATGTATCTACCGTAGCCTTAGACGAGGCTTCTGGGTGGGGAAAGGGTGCCCTGAACGTAGAGGGCGCAGAGGGGGAAGAGGGAGACAGAGAGAAGCTCTGTGGTTCCCACGTGAGGGAAATGAATCATGTCCAAGTGATTGAGTCCAGCAGGGAAAGGGCGACCTAGCTCAGGGATAGGCCGATAGGGTGTAAAACTGTAGGGTGCTCTGCAACCTGGCAGCTCTTCCACAGCCTTGAAAACGCACTTTCAAGGGTGTCTACTTTGTCTCAGGCCCTTTCAGTTCACTTGACTTGGGCACGCACCATCTGTTGGCACTTAGCAGGAGAGTGTGGCAGAGAGAAGCCAGCCCAGGCATACCACCTTTTACCATGCTTTACAGACATTGCATGGGTTTTTTTGTTTGTTTGTTTTTGGGTGTTTTTTTTTGTTTGTTTGTTTTTGTGTGTGTGTGTGTGTGTGTTTTGTTTGTTTGTTTGTTTTTATAAATTGAAGTCAAGACCCTCCACCAGCAAAAAGATTCTGACTCCCTCTATTACAGGGTGGTCTGGAACTGAACCCACGTATCTCCAGGGCATGCCTATACCGTGTGAAGCTCCTTCACAGAATGTGGACAGTCCAGGGCTGTGCCATCTTCCTCCCTCAGCTGGCCCTCCTAATGTAGGACTCTTTCTTTTACCTCTTCAGACGTCTAAATGATAAGCATTCCATTTTTTTTTTTTTAGGAAATTTCAGAAGACATTTTCAAAGCTAATTATGAAAAAATTTGTCATTGGGATTGGTGGGTGAGTAATTTTGCTACACACAGCTGGTCAAGGCACTCAGGATGTCCAAGGGGTGTTTTCATGTGGACGTGATGGGGGAAGGAGAAGCAGTGAGGATTCCTGAGTCCTAGAGAACAGGCCAGTATCAAATGCAACACGGAGCACTGGCATTTGATGGGAGAGTTTCCTTGTAAACAGAAAAACAGGAGCGGCAATAAGCAACTTTATCATTTATTTTTTATACCAAAGGCAAGGCCACGCCTCCATTTTTCTCCACTGTGCATTGAAAAAGATTTGTAGTTTTAGCTCTTTGCATTAAAATATGCGGCTCATATTCTGTGTTGCCTGTGAACCCTCTGACTGTTTCACCATAGACAAAAAAGTTCTTTTGTTTCCAACACAATAGCCGTATTTTTAGTATTTAGTCTTGGTATAACCCAATTCATTTGCCCAGTAGTTAGTTACCTTTCTCTTCAATCCTTCCCAGCTCATTTCTTTTTTTTTTTTTTTTGAGAATATATTTTTATTGATTTCAGAGATAAAGGAAAGGGAGAGAGAGATAGAAATGTCAATAATGAGAGAGAACCATTGATCGGTTGTCTCCTGCATGCCTCCTATTGGGAATCAAGCCCGCATGCTGGGCATGTGCCCTCACAGGGAATCAAACTGTGACCTTTTGGTTCATAGGTTGATGCTCAACCACTGAGCCACACTGGCTGTGCTCCAGGTTCCATATGTCCAAAGCTGGGCGTAAGTCCCAGCTTATTTCTTATAATTTATTGCACCGTTTACTTATGCCTTGATTTTCCCCACAGAAAAACATTATCTATAAAAGAAATAAATTTTCTTTGATATTAGATATTGTTTTAAATGTTCTTTTTATAAGATATTTTTTAATGTTGTATGTTTTTTAATGTAACTTTCTTCTCGGTTCTTTCAATATTTTTACAAAGTTTCTCTCTATTTTTTTTTTTTTTTGGTTCAGTGTGACAAATGGTGGGAAGACAACATTGGCTCAAAAATTGCAAAAACATCTCCCAAATTGCAGTGTCATATCTCAGGATGATTTCTTTAAGGTATCTTTAAAACTTCTTAGATAACTTATTTAACACAAAAGAAGTTTTAGTAGCAAAGTTTATTGTATTAATAGTGCATCCAAAAAGCCTTTATTGAGTGATAAAAGCTTTTGTTATGAAGGTATAGTCAATGCAGTAGTGTTACTTATCCACTAGATGGCACCACTATCACGGCTGTTCTTTGATTTTATTTATCCTCATTCAATGCATTTATTAAAGGTTTATCGCCTCTTTGTTGTATAATTGTATTATTTCTGCATTGCATAGTTTTTTGTTTGTTTGTTTTTTTGCATTGCATAGTTTTTATGGGTACTTTATTATTTTTTTCAGCCACCGTCTGAGATAGAGACAGATAAAAATGGATTTCTGCAGTACGATGGTAAGTAGATGAGCTTGTGAAAACATTACATCCTAATGTTCATTTTCTTTTTCAAAACCAAAGAGGGTGCTATCTGGGAAGACATTCTCAAAGTGTGTTTAAATACATATCACTGTACTTGGAACATGCTTTTGTAAAGGTTTCTGACTTATGTTCAACTATTTTTATTTATTTTTCTTGATTTCAGAGAAGGGAAAGAGAGATAGGAACATCAGTGATGAGAGAAAAATATTTGACCAACTGCTTTCTGCATGCCCACTACTGGGGATTGAGCCCACAACAGGATATGTGCCTTCACAGGGAATCAAACTGTGATCTCCTGGTTCGTATGTCGATATTCAGCCACTGAACCACACCGGCCAGGCTGTTCAACTATTTTTAAAAATGAAATATTTCCCCCAGTTTTATACTTAAAACTGAAAACATTGAAATGATACGGATTTTTTTCTTCTGAAGCTAGGGCAAGGTCATCCCTGCCTGGGGAATATAACCACTACTTCCCTTCCCTACCCTCAGTCTCACCTGGGGCAAACTTAAAGTACTCATCTTCTGAGCTCTCCTTTCCAGTGACCACGGTGATCTGGACAGTTGATTTTTCCTTTTTCTTTTCATTGACCAAAAACCATAATGAAATTTTTTTTTAGATGGATTCACGTCACTCCTCTACTCAATCTAACACAGCTTTGAAGCCAAAGGATTAAAGTCCAGGAGTAAAAGTTTACTTTCCTATAAAGAATGTCATGCTGCCGAAACCGGTTTGGCTCAGTGGTAGAGCGTCGGTCTGCAGACTGAAAGGTCCCAGGTTCAATTCCGGTCAAGGGCATGTACATTGATTGCAGGCACATCCCCGGTAGGGAGTGTGCAAGAGGCAGCTGGTCAATGTTTCTCTCTCATCGACGTTTCTAGCTCTCTATCGCTCTCTCCTCCTCTGTAAAAAATCAATAAAATATATTAAAAAAAAGAAAAAAAGAAAAAAGAATGTCATGCTATGCCCTAGGAAACATTGTTTTCAACAATTGATGAAGGATTATGCCTAACTCAAATGAGTTCTAACAAACTAATAAGACAAACACTAATATCCCAATTGTCCAAGGATGTGAATAAGCTATTAATAGGAGCAAAGATTATTGATAATATGCAATAAAACATCAACCTCAAAGGTACAGGGACATCCTCCAATCACAGAGCATTGAATTAGAAATTAGAAATCAATAACTAAAGAGGAAGTAAAGTCCCAAGTAATTGCAAAATAATCAATACCCTTTTTTTCTGATTAAAAATAAACATTAACTTTATTTTTATTGTTGACACTATTATAGATGTCCCCACCCCCTCTTTGCCCACTTCCACCCAGCCCCCACCCCCCTTCCCTCTGGCCATCACCACACAGTTATCTGTGTCTATGAATTATGCACAAACTATGTTCTTTGGCTAATCCCTTCACCTTCTTTCAACCAGTTTCCCCCCTCCCCTTCCTATCTGACAGCTGTCAGTCTGTTCCATATATCTTCGACTCTGTAAAAACTTTTTCTAAAAGAAAATTTTAAATATATACAAAAGTAGGCAAGAAAGTATAATAAACTCTCATGAGTTCAACATCCAGCTTTAAAAATGATGAACTCTTGGCCAATTATATTTTATCTAGACCCTCACTCACTTTCTCCTACGTTATTTTGAAGCAACTCCCAGACATCATCCATTTTATCTGAAGCAAAACACTTCTACATCCCATGACTTAAAGAATAAATCATAATGAAAATTAGAAAAGATTTTTTAATTGAATAAAAATGAAAATATATTAATACTAACATTATTTCTGGATCCAGCCAAAATGGATTGGCCCCATTCCTAACTATTTCTTCCTCTACTAAAAACCCCGGATGAAATACAGCAAACAAAGGAAAGACTCTGAAGGATGAAAAGAAGAGAGCAGACGGACTAGGGACTTCAGGCTTTGAGGAATAACATGGTTGTGAATTACCAGAGTTTCCTTTTTTCCTCTTGTACATTCTAGAAGGGGTGCTAGAGAAGTGTGCAACATGGAACCATCAATAGATACAGACAACAAACAACCAAACAAACCAGGAAAGGATGTCCTAGCAGAATAGAAAATCATTTTTGCAATATCCACCCTACTCAAGCCAAAGGAAAAACACACACACCACTTTCCCCTCATGATGTTAGCAGGGCCAAGTGGGGAGCAAGACTTCTGAACCCATCACACTAGTCAGGTGGGGTGAATTGACCCTCGGTGTCATCCATAGGGATCATATCAGTGGAACAAAACGGTGACTGAACGTCCACCCCCACCTCCAGCAAAGCGGCAGGATGAGGTTGTGTGAGGTGGTGCTAGTTGTACTCCACACTTTTTTCCCCCCCGCCCAGATAGTCAGCTACTATCAGCAGAACTCAGTAGAGAGCTGAACTTGACTCATTGCTGAGCAGCAATGAAGCCACACCAGCACATTAATTTTCCCTTTCTCCCTTCATGGCAATCCCTCCCACCCTAAGTATCAGTGAGGCTCAGCGGGAAGCCAAACATCCCCTCATCTGGGCAATCAACATCTAAACAGGTGACTACCTGCAAAAGAAGAAGAAGGAGAAGGAGAAGGAGACTGAATAGGCTTAAGAACCTCTCTCTAACGATCAATGGAAAAATATTCTCAGGTTAGGATTAAAAATAAAAAACAAAACAACAACAAAAAACAGGAAAGGGACAAATTACAAATACCAGAAACAAAAATAATAGCATTAGAGATGCTACCTACATTAAAAGGTATTATAAACAACTTATGTGAATATATTAGAAAACAATTGAAATTTACTATTTCCCAGAAAAATATAACTCACCAAGACTACTAGGTGTACTGGTTAATAATGTGGATTTTTTTCAATAGATGGAGTTACTGTATATGTGATTTGATATGCATGCTATTTTGTTATATTGACAGCAAGCTTCACAATTTCATATGTCAAATTTGCTGAAGGTGTTGACATCATAGATATTTTTACACTTAAAAATATCAAGTTTTGTGTCCCAAAAAAAGAGCATTTGTGGGAAGTTTTAATTAATTACTTTATTTTGAAGAAAAGTGCTGCTGAAAGTTATTATATACTTCGGGAAGCTTAGGGTGAACATGCTCCATCTCAAAACACTTGTGAACGCTGGTTTAAACACTTTAAAAGTGATGATTTCTATGTGAAAGACAAAGGACATCCAGATCAACCGAAAAAAGTTTGAAGACCAACAATTACAAGCATTATTGGATGAAGATGCATGTCAAACTCAGAAACAACTTGCAGAAAGATTAAATGCTCAGCAAACAATTTCTGATTATTTCCAAGCAATGGGAAAGATTTTAAAGGAAGGAAAATGGGTGCCACATCAACTGAATGAAAGACAAATGGAAAACCAAAAAGTCATCAGTAAAATGTTGCTTCAACAGCTCAAAAAAAGTTTTTTTTCCATCGAATTGTGACTGTTGATGAAAAATGGATTTATTTTGAGAATCCCAAATGCACAAAATCATGGGTTCATCCAGGTTAGTAGACAATCCATATTATTAACCAGTTAATCTGCCTTATTAACCAGCTAATATGTAATCTGCATTATTAACTAGTTAATAGGCAATCCACATTATTAACCGGTTAATACGAATTTTGTAATAAAAGAAAATACAATAATTTCAAGAGAAACATCAAAAGTGCTTTATTCAAAGTAATGTCCATTGCTAGCTACACTTTTCCCCCATCTTTCAGGTAATTTGTGGATACTCTCCCAATAGAACTTTTCTTGTTTTGAGGCAGACCATTCAGAGACCCAGTTTTCCACTTCATATGTTTTAAAATGCTGCTCAGAAAGTGCCTGTGCCATCGAATGGACCAAGTGGTAATATGAAGGAGCAATACAACAAAATAACATACATATCAAATCGCATCTATATCAACATATGTGTAACTCCATTTAGTTTTTTAAAAATCTACATTATTTGCCAGGATCGGTTTAGCTCAGTGGATAGAGCGTCGGCTTGGGGACTGAAGGGTCCCGGGTTCGATTCCGGTTAAGGGCATGTGCCTTGGTTGTGGGCATATCCCCAGTGGGGGGTGTGCAAGAGGCAGCTGATTGATGACTCTCTCTCTTCGATGTTTCTAACTCTCTATCTCTCTCCCTTCCTCTCTGTACAAAAATCAATAAAATATATTTTTTTTAAAAAATCTACATTATTAACCGGAACACTTAGTAACACCAGAACAGAGAAAATCTTAGTAACCCTATATCTATTAAATAAATTAAGGATTAATTAATTTAAAAACCTCTAAGCCCAAATGACTCAATTCAGTACTTCTGAGTGAGACGCAGAATTTGCCTTCCTAGTAAATTCCCAGGTCATGCTGAGGCTGCTGGTCAAGGTACCACACTTTCAGAATCATTTTTATAACCAAAAGCTCAGAAAGAATGCTCATTTTAGTATTTGAAAACGACATATTTGTGTTCTTTGCAAAAGTTTTAATGGTTTTCCTCTTGTTTATTGTAAGAGCTTTTTATATATTGAAAATATTAGTTCTGCCCTAACAGGTTTGGCTCAGTGGGTAGAGCGTTGGCCTGCGGACTGAAAGGTTCCGGGTTCAATTCCAGTCAAGGACATGTACCTTGGTTGCGGGCACATCCCAGTAAGAGGTGTGCAGGAGGCAGCTGATTGATGTTTCTCACTATCCCTCACCCTTCTTCTCTGTAAAAAATCAATAAAATATTAAAAATGTATTAGTTTTTTACCATATACACTAGATATTTTCCTCAGTGTGTCATATATCTTTTAAACTAATTTGTAGATATTTTGTCATCCAAAAATGTTAGACTTTTATGCAGTCGGGATAGTAGACGTTATAAATAAAGCAAGATTAGCCTTGAGTTTATCACTGTCAAAGCTGCTCATGAGGACATGGAAGTTCATTGTACTTTTTACTCTCTACTTTTGTATGTGTATCAAAGTTCCCATAATAAAAATGTTTCAAACATACCAATTTATCAATATTAGGGTTTAAAAGTATCTAAAAGGTTTGTTATTCTGTTTTTTGAAGAGTGAATAATGTTGTTTAATATATTTAGCAAGCCCAGGATATACTCAAATCCTGCATCATAACACTTTTTTGGTACTGATTTCTCATTTTTGTATGTTGTTTGAAGTGCTTGAAGCGCTTAACATGGAAAAAATGATGTCCACCGTTTCTTGCTGGATGAAAAGCCCAAGACACTCTCCGGTATCAACAGACTGGAGAAACGCTGAGGAAGTTCCCATATTAATCATCGAAGGCTTCCTTCTCTTTAATTTTAAGTAAGCATCCTCACTCAGATATTGGCTCTGAATGAATGGGAGGAAATCCCTGTGAACTAAATATGCTATTATTTTAGGCCCCTTGAGACTGTATGGAATAGAAGATACTTTCTGACCATTCCATATGAAGAATGTAAGAGGAGGAGGAGGTAAGTTTTAAAATTGCCTTTGTAGATGATGATTCAAAAGACAGAATTTATAAAGAAGAATGAGGACAGCAACATTATTGAGCAATATGTATATGTCATTTTTTCAAACAAGGGAAGCCTCAGCTCTTTTACACAATAAGCAAAGCCTTTTTCCATAAATAATCATCCACGTGGACAAATACAAATTACTTTTCTAAGAAAAGGCCCTATAGGAGCTATTTGGCTGATTTCTCCTCAATCTTCAAATGAAATAATTCCATGCTGATTATGACTCCAAATTAGTTGGCCTAGATTCTGCTGTAGCCACAAAGAACACCAATTAATTTAAAGCTCACTCTTGCGTATCAGTATTTCTATCATTATTTACATTGGTATTTATCTCTTAATTATTTTATAAAAAAAAAACTAGAGGGAGGAAAAGATAATATAAATTATAGTGAATTAGAAGATTAACTTTTGGATGAGCAAACTAAATTCTTTTTATTGTCTTTGTAACTGGCATTGAGTCTAAAATGTATAGTTTTAATCCTGTTTAGATTCTATCTCAGTGATTTTTTTTTAATTATCCTGGCCGTTACTATATTACTTTATCCATGTGTGTTTCTATCAACATGAAGCTTCCCACCTGTTTTGACAGCACGAGGGTTTATGAGCCTCCAGACCCTGAAGGGTACTTTGATGGCCACGTGTGGCCCATGTATCTAAAGCACAGAGGAGAAATAGAGAGCATTGAGGAGATTGGTAAGTGCCCTTGCTCCCTCCACGGGAGACCTTTTAACCTATCATTGCCAGAAAGTACACAAAATTCAAAAGACATGTTTCTTTTTTTCTTTTTTTCTTTTTTTTAATAAAATTGATTTTTTACAGAGAGGAAGAGAGAAGGATAGAGAGCTAGAAACATCGATGAGAGAGAATCATCGATCAGCTGCCTCTTGCACACCCCCCACTGGGGATGTGCCTGCAACCAAGGTACATGCCCTTGACCGGAATCGAACCTGAGACCTTGCAATCTGCAGGCTGACGCTCTATCCACTAGCCAACCTGGTTTCAGCAGAAGGCGTGTTTCTTATGTGTGTGTTATGTTATAAAGGAAACTTTACTGTGCAGCACTCTGGGCTCCCGTATTTCACAACAGGCTCTCCTGGCTTCTGCTTGTCTCTCTATGGCTCTTGTGAATAGCTTGGTGATTTCTAGGTGGTCGTTTATTCAGTCAATATGGATTGAATGTTTTCAATGTACACGTATTGTCCTGGTGATATATATCAAGGGAAATAAGGCAGATCCTGTCCATCTTCTCATGAGCCAACATTCTACTACGGAAGCAAACGTTAAACTAGCTACCTGAGCATGCCCTTTCCAGCTGTGCCGAGTGCTGTGACAACAAGCTCTTAGGGCACTGCCTACATCCCAGGGATCCAGCCACATGCCAGCTGTGCTCTGACAGGGTTAACTGGAGAAAGGGAAGAGTGCTGGGATGGAAGATCATCACCCTGGGCAGTGGGTGTGATACATGGAAAGGGCCAGGGGGCCGGAAGGAATGATCAGCATCCGGAAGAAGGTTGGTGTATTTGTGGAGAGAAAAACCAAGGACAAGAAGTGCTGCTGGTAATACAGGAAAGATCCTAACCCTCAAGGTCACACAGGCCAGTTAAGGACGTGGGTCATTATCCCAGTAAAAGTAGGAAGCCCTCTACAGACAGGTTTAAACAAGGACACGTCAGATACCAGATTCTTTTTTTTTTAAATATATTTTATTGATTTTTACAGAGAGGAGGGAAGAGGGATAGAGAGCTAGAAATGTCGATGAGAGAGAAACATCAACCAGCTACCTGTTGCACACCCCCTACTGGAGATGTGCCCGCAGCCAAGGTACATGCCCTTGACCAGAATTGAACCCGGGACCCTTTAGTCCACAGGCCGACGCTCTATCCAGTGAGCCAAACCTGTTTCGGCCAGATTCTTGTTTAATAAAATCTCTTTGGCCATGTGGAGGCTCGGTGTAGAGGATGCAATATTGGGCACGTGTGCTCAATAGAACTGGATGGTAGTGTAGATACGGTGGGTCCAGGAAATCAAGGTGTCGAGAATAATACCTTGGAACCTGGCAGGTACTGTTTTGGAAAATAGAAATAAGTGAAGGAGTTGCAGGTTTGGAAGATAAGGATGCAAGTCTGTTTTTGCACAAGTTAAGATACCTGAGAGGCATAAAGTGGTGATTTGGGGGTACACATCTGGATGGATGAGCCCAGGCTCAGAACAGACCTCTGGAATACAGGGCTCCACACAGAAACTGCAGGAAGCCCGGGGGGGGGGGGGGGGGGGGGGCGGAGGGGGGGGGGAAGGCTCTTAGTTGGAGCAGAAGCAGAACTGATGCATACTTTTCAGAATAAAGGGAGCTGCCCATGTTGGGAAGAGCTCCGTGGCCTCCAGGGGGCTATGTCTGAACCGTGCAGAAAGCGCATGGGGCCTCCCCCCTGGTCTGGTGGCCGTTATAATCTCTTCTTCAGTCAAGTTCAACCCCTTCTCCCCATCCACAGGGCCGCTGCTGGGGTTCTAGCCACAGCACTTCCAGTTTGGACATGGTTACAGGAGCATCCTCTTCTCACTGTTCCTCTCTCCCTCTCCCTTTAAAATGGCAATCTAACTATGTCCCTGTCTAGCTTGATATCTTCATAGAGTCTCCAGCTCTCTGGTAAAACCCCCACACAGCCAGACATCAAGGCCTCTAACAGCAAAGGCACAGCCTTGTTCCACAACCTCCTCTCTCCACTGTTTCTGCCTCCCCACATTCTAGGCCTTCCTAACGGTGCAAAATTCTCTCCTACCTCCCTACCGCTGCAGGTGTCTGACTAGAAGGCCTTTTCCTTTCTGTAACATACATAACTTCCACTTTTTCTCCAAGACTTACTATGCCAATTTCATTAAAAATATATATCTTCTGAGTCTGGCTGGAATGGCTCAGTGGTTGAGCATCGACCTATGAACAAGGAGGTCACAGTATGAGCTAGAGCATATATCTGGATTGAGGGCTCAATCCCCAGTGGAGGGCATGCAGGAGGCAACTGATCAATGATTCTCTTTCATCATTAATGTTTCTATCTCTTCCTTCCTCTCTGAAGTTATATATATATATATATATATATATATATATATATATATATATTGTTTTTTAATACATATCTTCTGGGCCTAAAGAATTCTGATTCAGTATATATATGGCCTGAAGAATTTTGATTCAGTATATATCTTACACCCCTACATGGTGTAAGAAGCTTCACATATAATCTTGATGCATCAGTAAGTGGGATAACTACTCCCTTACAGGATTCTTTCAGAGACACACCTCTTCAGTGCCATTTAATGATTTTCTTTTTCTTCCATTAAAAAAAAAAGTAATAATGTTTATATTAACTAGTGTTCATTTCTCTATAATTAACCACAAATTTTTACCTGTTGTTCCTGACTATAATGTACTTCACTCTCTAATGGCTATTCATTTATTTTTATTTTATGATCCTGAGTTCTTTGGTTAAACCTACTAGGTATTTTCAAGAGATACCAGGTGCCAACGTAAGCATGCTATCTTAATAAGCCTGTTAGCATTTATTTGACTTGCTCTCTTTTTCCCTTTTCAGTTTACCTGGATGGGACAAAATCTGAAGAGGAACTCTTTTCACAAGTGTATGAAGATCTAAGACAGGAACTTGCAAAGCAAAAATGTAAATATTGTCCTACTGAAGTGGAAGGAACAGCTAGGAACATAGTTCATTACATACCTAAGAATGGCATACCAGAATGCTAATGTAGGAATGACTGTATCCATTTATTCACTGCTTTGAGGATAATTCAGAATCAGATTATGAATGGGTTTGAGGACTCAATCAATTTTTTGAGGGTGAAAATATCCACCCTTCGTTATACCTCTTAACATTTATGTTATGTACAATAGTTTAAATATTTTAGTAGATAGCTGCTATTTCAATAAGACTGAAGTGATCCTTTGGCCAAGTGAAGTTAAAATGTTAATATGTTTAGAGCTCCCCTTCTCCTTATTCCTCTCAAAGATTTTTTTCACCAATTTCTGTTTCCCAGATACCTCAAAACTAAACACAAGTTTTCCATTTTAGCCTTGCTAAATGTTCCCATGGAAGACTTTGATTGGTCCTGCTTGGGTCACATGACTTTTGCTAAACCAATCACTATGGCCAGGGAACTGGCATACTCTGACTGGCTAAAACTGGATCCTACTGATCTTGTAATTGAATATGCCTCTTAAGGTCTCCTGAATTAAAGGGATAAATGAAAGGGAAAGCAGAGCAGGAGGTAGAAACCAGAAGAAGGAGGATAACAAAGCATGTTGGGAGAATAAAACTATAGATCTAGCTGCTGTTATATTTGAACTAAAAAGATTTTTACTGCTAATCATGCAAAATGCAATAATCGGCTGACTCAAGACAAGAGAGTAGAGTCACTCCAGCAGTGAAGAATATTACATGATTTGTGTGTGTGTGTGTGTGTGTGTGTGTGTGTGTGTGTGACACACACTGCCATAGTCCAAATATCATCTCTCAAGAATCAGATTTCCCATGTCCTCAATAAATTCCTATCTGACCAGGAAACTGAGCCCAGCAATGCAGCTTATAGTTCCTCCATGCTCCCAATTTCAGGATCAGCCCTTCATGTAGGCATGAATCCAACTGAAGAAATTTCAGGACCATTTTTAAATTACTTCTTAGGGAACCTTATAATTCTTGCCAGATATGCCTGCCCGCCCCTGCCATCTGTTACCTTGATGAAAGGCAGGCCTCCAGCATGTATGGATAATGGAGTGTAGGGGGAAAATGGGGCTCTGCCTTCATAAATGATAGCACCTGCGCCAACGCCACTTGTATAGGGGTCAGTGGCTTTCTTTCTGGCCCTACAGAGATATTTCCAGGGTCATTTCAGCTTTTGGTCACCTAGGCTTTTCCATCTTCTCGATAATGGCCAGTGAGCAGATCAATTCTCCCTTAGTGACTGAGTCATATACTGGAGTTTGCCCTTATGTTTTGCCTGCTGATAAAAATAAAAGGATCATGCAAAGGAGGAAAGAATATACAATGGAGTCAAGACAGTTTCTTCAATAAATGGTGTTGGGAAAATTGGGTAGACACATGCAAAAGAATGAAACTAGATCACCAACTTACACCATACACAAAAATAAACTCAAAATGGATACAGGACTTAAACATCAGACGGGAAACCATAAAAATACTAGAAGCATCTTCAGGCAGCAAAATCTCAGACGTATGCCAAAAGAACTTCTTCACTGATACTGCCCCTAGGGCAATGGAAGCTAAAGAGAAAATAAACAAATGGGACTACATCAAAATAAAAAGCTTTTTTACAGCAAAAGAAACCATCAACAAAACAACAAGAAAGCCCACGGTGTGGGAGAACATATTTGCAAATAACACCACTGATAAAGGTTTAATCTCTAACATCTACAGACAGCTGATACAACTAAATAAAAGGAAGATGAATGATCCAATTAAGAAATGGGCAAGGGACCTAAATAGAATATTTTCAAAAGAAGACAGAAGGAAGGCCAAAAGGCACATGAAAACATGCTCAAAGTCACTAATTATACGAGAGATGCAAATCAAAACAACAATGCGGTACCATCTCACACCTGTCAGAATGGCCAACATCAACAAATCGACAAACGACAAGTGTTGGCGAGGTTGCGGAGAAAAAGGAACCCTCGTGCACTGCTGGTGGGAATGCAGACTGGTGCAACCACTGTGGAGAACAGTGTGGAGTTTCCTCAAAAAACTGAAAATGGAACTCCCATTTGACCCAGTAATCCCACTCCTAGGAATATATCCCAAGAAACTAGAAACACCAATCAGAAAGGATATATGCACCCCTATGTTCATAGCAGCACAATCTACAATAGCCAGAATTTGGAAACAGCCTAGGTGCCCGTCAGCAGATGATTGGATCAAAAAACTATGGTACATCTACACAATGGAATACTATGCTGCCATAAAGAAGAAGGAATTCTCATCATTTGCAGCAACCTGGATGGAATTGGAGAACATCATGCTGAGTGAAATAAGCCAATCAATGAAAGAGAAACACCACATGACCTCACTCATTTGTGGATAATAAAGAGCATTATAAACTGATGAACCAAAAGATAGATATAGAGACAGTAAAGCAACAAGCAGATTGTCAAATTACAGCGGGGAGGGGAGGAGGATCTGGGGGAGATAATAGATCAACCGAAGGACTTGTATACATGCATATAAGTACAACCAATGGACATAAAACTATGGGGAGGGAGGGGCTATGGGGGAGGGAGGGAGGGGGGCAAAAAAAAAATCATTAAAATATGTAAAAAAAAAATAATTAAATAAATTAAAAAAAATAAAAAATAAAAAATAAAAGGATCATGGATTTCAGGCAAATTATTCGTAGTCCTGTACCAAACGCCAGCTTTTGCCATGGGACTAAGGCCCCAGAATAGTTGGCATGCTGAAGGTCTACAAGAAAGTACATGTCCATGTGTGTTACACCCTCCTCGTTGCTTGCCTATGTCCTAGAGACTTGTAAGGAAATAATTAACTGTTCCTTTTAAGGCTATCTTGCTTGTTTCTAGATATTGGATAAAGTTTAAAAAGAAGAAAATACAGGGTGGGCAAAAGTAGGTTTTTTTGTTTGTTTGTTTGTTTTCAGATGTCTTGTAATCCCTTCCCATAGATCTAACACACAGTTCTATGAATAAAGGAAGCAACGTATTTATTCTATGAAGTGTTTCCAATGATGTAAGTCTACAAAAAAAGACCCATCAGGATAGACCTCAATAAAAGTAGGTTTATAGTTGTGAGTACGTAAACAAAGTTTATTCTTGTGTTATTATTTGTTTATTAATTATTGGATTGTCCATATGAATAGTATAAACCTACTTTTGCCCACCCCTGAGTGTAACAGACACTTTAGAAGAAAAATAAAAACCAAAAAAGATCAGCTTTTCCTTCCTCCAAGACCTATGTTATTTTTTTCCCAGTTGTATAAGTTTACTGTGTTATATTAACCCACCATCTTTCCCATTTCTTCCAACCATAGTGTCCTGCAAAGCCAGCCTGGAGGGATCCTCAGAATAACCCGCTGTGACCCTTAATTCAGGAATGAGCTAGTGGGGAGGAGTTTCAGATGTTTCATTTGACTACACTTTACATTTCTCATAACATCTCATAACCCTGATCAACTAATTTTCCACTCTAAGCATGTAAAAGCGTAATTGTGATAAAGTCATAATTATGAATGGGAAACAACAAAGACTGAATTTGATTGATAAGAAACACTAAATGACCCAGGAGAATAAGGATGTGAAGTTATATATTTAATTCCATCCTTCTTAAATCCAGACGTTGAAGCGAATTTGAATGATTATCTATTCTCACTATAATAAGGCAGTCTAGTCACTAGCATCATTCAAACATCCTTTAAGAATATTTACTTTTACCTCATGATAACAGTATCCTGTCTAATAAAGAGGGAATATGCAAATTGACCATCATGCTATCACAAAGATGGCTGTGCCCTCAGCAGAGGTGGGGTTTCCGTAACACAAGATGGCTGCGCCCACAGCAGAGGCTGAATTCCCATAACAAGCCTTAACGAGCAATCAGCAGGGACCTGAGGTTGAGCCCCCCACCCAGTGCTGGGCCAGGAGACCTGAGTTTGCACCCCCTACCCAGAGGGGCCCGCTGGGTCAGGGTCTCACATGATTTTGAGGCACCGTGGGTGGGTTGGGACTTGACTTTGGGTCCCACAGCACATCCCAGACTCTAACGGGAGGAAGATTTTCATATACATTTTACTAATTTTCTTTAATCTCTAACACTTATAGAGAAGGGTAAATAGCAATATTAAAATATTTCCTTAATTAATCCCCTTTTAATGTGCACGAATTTCATGCACTGGGCCACTAGTATTGATTATAAAACAAATTTTAATGTAAAAGCAAAAGGAGAAAAAAAATCATTTATATGTCCACCAGTCAGCATGTTAACATTTTAATGAGTATACATCCAGTGATTTTGCTGTTCACATTCATCTGTCTTTTATATGGTTACATGGTTCATTGTGATGCTTGTTTCCTTTTAAAGTTAATATTTAATATTTAAGAAGCTTTATGGAGTCCATTATATAATGAAACTGAATAAAACTAAATTGCTCTCCCAGTTAAGAGTTGAAGTCTGAGTTCTGTTTTGCTCATTGAAAGCGAATTATAAGACAACATGGACATCTTAGTGTAGAAGATGTCATGTGTCTAGTTTCAAATCATAGAAATAAGAAATTGCAAACTAAAAATATAATCAAATTTTTATATTTTTCTTTTTGGCATTTTTCTACATTGGATTTAAAATATAATTCCTAATTATAAAGTAAGAGTAGCATAATAGTTCAAATTGATGTAAGATTATTGAGTCATTTCTCAATTGTTGGATATTTAGTATTGTACAAGTGTTTTATATTGGCAATAACATGTTATAAAAGATACCTACAAAGCTTGCTGGTTTTCTTTAATTACATTGAAATTTTACAGAATAGCGCTTAGTCAAAGAATATAGTCATTTTCACATTTTACATACTTCAAATATTAAATACTAAAAAGGAAAGAACTCGTGGACATTGGAAAACAGTGTGGTGATTGCAGGGAGTGGGGGTGAGGAGGGGGAAGGTGGATGGAGGTGGAGGAAGTATAGAGAGCATAAGTGGTGATGGAGAGATGAAAAAAAGAAGCAGAGGCATGGATATATGGAACAGACTGACAGCCATCAGATGGGAGAAGGTGGTGAATGGATGAAAGAAGGCAAAGGGATTAGCCAAAGAACATATATGCATAACCCATAGTAACCCATAGACACAGACAACAATGTGGTGATGGCCAGAGGGAAGGTGGGGTAAGGGTAGGGTGGATGTGGACGAAGGGGTTGGGGAAGGAGAATGGAGACATTTGTAATAGTGTCAACAATAAAAATAAAGTTAAAACAATTTTTTAAAAGATTAAATACGGCCGAAACCTGTTTGGCTCAGTGGATAGAGTGTCGGTCTGCAGACTGAAAGGTCCCAGGTTCAATTCCGGACCAAGGGCATGTACCTTGGTTGCCAGCACATCCCCAGCAGGGGGTGTGCAAGAGGCAGCTGATCGATGATTCTCATTGATGTTTCTAACTTTCTATCCCTTTCTCTTCCTCTCTGTAAAAAATCAATAAAATAATATTTTTTAAAAAGTACTAGAATATATCCCAATGCAGTCACACCACAGGGTCCACAAAGATGCCATCAATATAGCAAAAATAGAGATATAATAGTATGTTCCCTGCTAGCTTCCAGATCCTAGGGAAGCTGGGTTGTTTTATTCAAGATTAAAAATTGAGACTAAAACTCATGCAAAGACATCCCTATTGACTCCTCCCTTCAAGCCTGCACAGCAAGTTCCTGGAACGAATTGTTCCAGCAGTGGTTCTCAAACCTTAGCCCGTATCTGGATTAATTGGAGGGCTCATTGAGACAGATTGCTGGCCCCCAACCCCAGTTTCTGATTCAATAGGTTTGGGGGGCAGGGCCCTGGAATTTGCATTTCTAACAAGTTCCCAGATGATATTACCGCTGACCCGGGGCCACACTTTTAGAGTTACTGCACTCTGCACAGTAGTAGACAAATAGCTCACAGGCCCATGAAGCCCCACCCTGCATATTTGGACACTACCAGCTTGAAATTACTGGTGTTTTTAGCCCCAAAAGCATTGCAAAATCATCCCTGTGCCAATTTTTTATTTTATTCACTTTTAGATCCAAAGTCTTCATTTTGCCTCAACTGTAAAAATTAATCTGGACCCTTAACTATTCTGCCAGCTGGAACGATGTTAGTTTGTCAACAGTGGGCACTAGAGAGACATTGAAAAAGAAAAGGACTTTGCTTTCCGTGAAGTCAGCAACTGTAGCAAAGTTCTTCTGGTGAGACATCTCCCAATAAGTGGCTTTCCCAAAGCACCCTTGACAGTGGATTTCCCCAAAATTCCAGAGGGCAGATTCCAGCAAGTTTGGCTGACGTGGCACCACAGTGACTTCTGTGCCATTCAGGGAGCCAGGGCAGATCCTTCTTTTTTTTTTTCTTTTTTTTTTTTTTTTTTTTTTTTAACTGATTTGAGAGAGAGAGGGGAGGGAAGGATAGGAAAAAGATAGGGAGGGAAAAAGATTGATTTGTTGTTCCACTTATTTACCCAGTTGTTGGTTGAGTCTTGTAGAATGTGCCCTGACTGGGGACCAAACCCGCGCAACCTTGATGTACTGATGCTCTAACAAACTGAGTTCCCCAGCCAGGGCTTCTCCAAGGTCTGGCTCTCATTACTGGCTCATCCCTTCCTCAGTCACTGAGATGTGGCTGTTCCTTAAGAGTTCTCATTAATTCTTAGTAGCCAATACCTTGTGTATATTCTATTTACATAATAAATATATCATCAGAGTTACCGTGTTTTTCGGACCATAAGACGCTCTGGACCATAAGACGCACCAGTTTTTAGAGAAGGGAAATGAAGAAAAAAAGATTCTGAAACAAATAGTGTCCTAAAATATTTTATGTGCATTAAAACCCAACATCACAGTCATAAATACATGTAATCAACCCTGTAAAGTAAACAGCAGCATTTAGAACCATTTTAGAGCCGGGCAAGCACACAGAGACCACACAGAGCCGGGCAAGTAAAAAAACTTTTTTTTTAAAGTAGATGTGTAGGCTATATTTGGATCATAAGACACAGGGACTTCCCCCCCCCCCCCCCCACTTCTGGGGGGAAAAAAGTGCATCTTATGGCCAAAAAATACGGTATTTAGGTCTTTTTTATATTTTAATACATATGTTTATATAAACAAATATATTTAAAACATATTTCATTTATATATAACTATGATGTATCTGTTTAGTTAATTTATATAATATAATTATTAATTTTTAAAGGATAATTATATTTATTTTATGTAAGAATGTATACAATTATTTAATTAAACTTTTTTTGTTCACAGTACTTTGTGGTTTCTCTCCCCTAATGGACTCAGATTGATACAACTATTGGTATATTATTCAACTGATTTATAGAAGATGAATTTTGGCAACTATGTGGTTCCTTTAAAAAAAATGTTTTCCATCTCTTATCTCTGGGATACCATGCTCATAGAATAAAAACATTTTTGTCCATCAAAAGGGCTATAGCCTGCAATCCTATGCTCGTTATGTTATCATACCTGTTTCTGCAGCAGACATTACATGGAATTCCTAAGTCTATTTTGGATAGTCTCAATTTGACAGTAAAGTTTCTCAGACTGGGAGAGAAGCTTTTCTCGAGTGAGGGTTTCAGGAAAAATTTTAAACATGGTGTTTGGTTTTGGTTTTGGTTTTGGTTTGGGGTTTTGTTTTGTTTTTCTTCTCATTTATGGTGTTCTGTTTTTTAACAAGGTCTATGATCCATTGTTCTGAAGGTTATATTGGATTAGCCAATTCTCTAGCATATACCTGTTTGACTTCCTATTTTCTCTTGATTAGGATATTTTAATTCTAATAAAGGTAGATGCTGTCTTGTGGAAAATGTTAGGGTATTTTTAGCCTCAGCACTCTTGGCATTTCTAGATAATTCTTTTCTGTGGGGGACTGTCCTGTGCATTGAAGGATCATGAAGAATCATCCTTATTTTCTGTACACTAGATGTCAGTAGTGCTCCCCTCTCAGGTTAGGACAGCAAAAATGTCTCCAGAGAAAAGGGAATCCTAGTGCACTGTTGATGGAAATGCAGATTGGTGCAGCCACTGTGGAAACCAGTATGGAGGGTCCTCAAAAAATTAAAAATGAACTGCTTCTGGGATATATTCAAAAAAATTCAAAACACATTTTAAAGAATATATACACGTCCTTATGTTCATTGCAGTATTGTTTACAATAATCAAGATTTGAAAGCAGCCCAAGTGCCCATCAGTAGATGAATGGATAAAAAATTTGAGGTACATTATACAATGGAATACCGCTTAGCTGTAAAAAAAAAAAAAAAAAAAGAAAAAAAAAAAAAAAGGAAAAAAAAAGAAAAAGAAAAAGGAAAGAAAGAAATCTTACCTTTGCAACAACATGTATGGACCTGGAGAGTATTATGCTAAGTTAAATAAGCCAGTCAGAGAAAGACAAGTACCATAGGATTTCATTTATATGTAGACTCTAATGAACAAAATAAACTAACAAACTAAATAGAAATAGATTCATAGATACAGAGAACAGACTGACAGCTATAAGAGGGGAAAAAGGTGTGTATGTGGGGGGAGGGCTGGGTGAAATAGGTGAAGAGATTAAGCAAAAAGAATCTCATAGACACAGACAACAGTGATTATCGGAGGGAAAAGGGGGGGGGAAGTAGGAGAGGATGAAATGGGGATAAATGGTGACAGAAGGAGACTTGACTTTGAGTGGTGAACACACAATACAAATACAAATGATGTATTTTAGAAGTGTACACTTGAAACCTTTATCAAACAGTGTCACCCCAATAAATTCAATTTAAAAATTTTTTAATATATACCCTCAGACACACACACAAATGTTTCCAAATGCTTGAAGGAGAAAATTATCTCCACTTGAAACCAACTACTGATAGCGATGAAAATTAAATTTGTCCCCTAGAGATAATTCAAACCTTTCTTCTTCAGCCACCATAAATGCATTGCTCTCCCCAATTTTCTTTGAATCAGCCACACCAACTTGCCAACTACCTCATTAACATGGTAAGTGAATCTTTAACACGTGTTTACTTTATACTTTGTATGAGAGTCATGTTTTCAACTTTTTTGAAACTATATTTGGCAATACTTTCTATACACTACTTTAATCCTTATAACAATTGGATAAATATGAGTCTTTGAGATATAAAATAAGGACCCAAAATCCCACTGCTAACACTTAGAATAAGGTTTGGAACCCGTCTTCATGACCCAGTGAACTCTTCAGCACCATGCTAGACTATATCATGAAGCTAAGTCCTAAATCTCTGTGACCTGGCTTGCTGTGCTCACTGCACTTAGCTTGCAATTATACCCCCCAGCTCTTGGCCACCCAATTTAAGCGCTCTAAAAGGGCTTCTTGCATAGTTCAAAATCCAAGAACCAATCAGAGTAGCCTTCTAACTACTTTGTAACATTCTACGCT